ATTAGATTTTCAAACATGTTTCTTAAAGCTACTCCCCCAATTCAGAGATATGTGGCATATTTTGGTTTTCTAAGTTCGTATTTTGACCGTAAATTTTGTATATTATATTCTGTAATTGTTATGACTTGGAAAATATAAGAAAAAATGTTTTGAACACGAATTTCTATCAATTTTTGTATAAAACAAATTACACACTATTGATCAAAGTCTACGAACAAAATACGTCCTACATTTTGAAACAGGGTCACTAGGATTGATAACACATACTTCCTTTTCAGCCTTTACATTTCTAATAGGTGAATGCATACATTTGTCTTCCTGATATATGCCAAACTAATTATACAGAAAAATACACAGTAGAGGAATATAAATACAAAATGGAAGACGAAGCAAACACGGGCTAAACATTGCAAGCCCGTTGTGATAAGGCATGTATACCTACAATGCAAAGAACAAAGAATGATAGTTGAGACTAGAGTAATATAACTTTTAATCTTTCTCTCCAAGCATCTGGAAACTGAGCTGAATACTGTTACTCTAGGCTTCAATCTTGGCATCTAAGCAGTCGCTGGTGGGGAAGAGAAGATGAGGCTCATCAAGAGCCCAACCAGGAGACCTATGATCCCAGCAAAAGCAGCAAAGGTCAAAGAGAAACCAGCATCGCCTTTGCGGCTTCTACGCCTCCTCAGCATGTCCTGAAATGTTAATTTTTTTATATTTAGGGATAAATCCAATATAAGCGAGGATGTATATGTAGGCAATCAGCATTTCATGCAGAAGTTAACCTAGGTTTAGTACTTCGATATCAACCGCCAATCTACATTTTAGAGTCAAAAGTAATAAAAATATGGAAATAAACTTAGCATGATTGGCAGGTGGCACCTCACATTTCTGTTCATTTTCTGTTATATCAGCGTCTAAAGCGACCATATTAACTGCTGGCAGAAAAAGAACGAAACAGTAGACACCATGGCATATCCATAGTATCAAGTCTGATTTAACTGGCCCACTACCCTTTGGCAATCTAGTTTCACTCCAAAATTGAGCTAACGCCATAGTGATTTGGTTTTCCATTCCCAAGGTCCAGCTCTTAGTCTGTGTCCTCTCGATAAATAAATGATCTAGTAGGACAAAGGACAAAATAATATATGCTTTGACTTTGTTTTTGCTAAAACATCCACAAAGATTTACGGCAAGGGAAAAATGGTAATCAGGCCAAATTTTTATATTTATAAAAATAAAATGTGATTAATGACACATTGCAAAACAAAAAACTTGTTACTCATCAAGGACCAACATATTCTTTTGCATTTGCTCAAAAGTAATACTTTTTTATAACATAACATTCATCATTATCTGCCTTTTACATATTTAATTATGGATTCAAACAGTGAGAAGCAAGCAAAAGCATCAAAATCCTGATGTTAATATGATTAGTCAAACTAGGATCTGAACTGAACTAAAACAGTGAGTAGAAACGACATGGAGCGTGAAAATGTCAATATACAGCACCAGTTCACGTTGCATTTGCTGATTTTGCTGAAGATTGTTATCCCTTTCGTCCTTCAGACGCTGTATTGTCTGGATCTGGATAAAAGGAAAGGAACAATTTACTGAGTAAAAAGGACAAAAGGTTCGCATAATATGTTTTTTTATTAGTAACAGCTTGATCATAAAAGTTAATTGCTGCATAGTGAGCATATCTCATCCAGGGCACACTTTAGAATCATGATTTTTGGAAAAAAGTTTGAGTTGGAATATGTCAATCAGGATAAAGGAAGATACTCTGGTCCAGATGAACAAAAGTGGGTAAAAAATTCCAAATTCTGGTCCCATTGCACAATTAACTATGTACATAGGGCAACATGCTCGTGGGCTTCTGGGCATCCCTTCCTACCTCAATCATGACACCGGCCTGGAAGTATAGGTACCTTTTCTCACGCTCGATCAACTTTATGTTGATTTCAACAATGATTTAATGATGCTTGAACATTGTCCTGCTTCCATATTTGCTCTTTTCACAATTTTATATAAGAAAATGTAGTGTGTATTTGCTTCTGCATTTAAGAATCTAAGAGAGAAATAGTATTTGCAAGACTATAGCAACTACCTCAGTGCAAAAACGTACTGCAAAAAGATCCTAAGATGAACCTAATGTATATTTTTTGGAAGTGCGCAGCGCAATATTACAGAGTTTGGTAGAGACTTCAAGCCTGTCAAGTCTAAATGGTAGAATAATTCTTTCTCCATCAGGGGAAATGTCTTTGCTAGCAGTTTTTTTGGTCAGGTTTCTAAATAAACATGTGAAATTTCTGTTTGGATAGAGCGCGTTACCTCTTCAATGCTTGCATTCTTCAGCATCTGCAAGGTAAAGCATAAACATGTGAAATACAGTTAGCCTTTGTAATAAATTTTTATTAGCAGATCCAACATATGTCTCCTACTTAGATGATAGAGCTAGCCAATCTCACCGAGAGATCGTCGCCACCCTGCTTGAAGCTCCTATTTGCTGAAGATGTGACACCAGAGTCGTCTGAGCTTCCACTGGGCAATGTGTAGACAACCTTGAGCTTCATTTCCTCAATCACCTTATCAGCCTCCTTGTTGAACTGAGGGATACATATAAAGGTGAGATATAGTTGGTGGAATGCCAATAATTTCATTCTAAGGACAATGCGCCGCTAGATCATAGAAACCAGTGATTATGAGTTTTATTAGTGCTCACTGTGTCAGGGGGGATTTCGTCCATGTCGGTGCTGGCAGCCACCCTGGTGCTCTGAATCAAGAATTTATCCTTGGATTGCATATCTGGAGGGTACTCTTTCTGCGACTGTAGGGTAACTATAACCCAAAACAAGAAGGCAGATGCGCACACATCAGAACCAAATAAAGAATCCTGGAGCATGTATGTATCTATGCATGCATGCTTACTTGTTATCGTGCAAGAATCCCACGGCTGGACGACGCTGGCGTTCGGCCGGACGAAGTACTTCCTCGGAGACGTCGTCTTGACCTGAATGCAAATGAACATATTCTGATCAAACCTGAACCTCGATCTTCTTCAAGAGCTTCACCGAGACGCACAGCGGAAAACCAGAGTCCGTCCTGCGCCGTGGAATGGAAATGGCACGAACCTTGAAGGCGACATGGTGCTCGCTGTTGTTCACCACCTTGAGATTGCAGTAGCACGGCTTGTCCAGCTCGACTACGCACAAGAATTCAGTTCAACCAACGTAGAGAAAACCACGGAGGGTTTTTTATTTTGCAGAATGCGGAGAAAATCTCAAGAACAACTTACAGAGGAAGGTGAGGTCGTCCGGGTAGACCGAGATCAGCGCTCCTCCCACCATTGCGACACCTGAACCTGATGAGAGAAACGGGGAAGGAACCACGGCACTCGTGAATCGTCTGCATTGGAAGAGACATAGGAGGAGGTGGTTTCTGCTGGTTCAGAGGAGGATCGTCCCAACCTTTCTGTCGAGGACGGCAGGAGCCCGGCCGAGGCGAAAATCAACGACGAGCAGCGATTCGGGGGAGAAATGAGGAAGGAGGGAGGGTGGAGGGGAGGAAGAAAGACAGAAATGAATGGGTTCGCTTTGCCTTTCTTGGCTTCCCGGCGACATTGACGGGGCAGCACTCACTTCTTGGGCCCGTGGCTGGCAGTTTGCGTTTTCCTCTCCCCCCTTTTTTTCCGCGAGTGAACAGCACTATTCCTTTATCTAATCTTTTTTTTTTGGTGGTTGGTGATTTATATGCTACTACTTTATTCCGTGTGTTCTTGTCAAGGCCACTTGGCAGGTGATTTTTTATCATGTTTTGGGAGCACCTTTTTTTACCCAAATGCACTGGCGATGAATTGCTTGCTCTCTCAAACAAATCTATACAGTACATTTTTCCTACATGTTTAATAATAATGTAGTAAATCACCAGAAAAATTCGAGCGTAAGAGAGATAGTGAGATCATGTTGCCATACTTGCCTTTGCCCACCGAGAAAACGTAAAAGGCCGTAGTGATTATACTCCTACATTGCACATTAATTAAGAAGTACAAAAAGGGGATCCGAAGGATATTCTTGTCTGATTATAATAATTTGCCCTTTCGTTCGGTACTCTTCTCGACAAATAATTGCAGTATTTGTTGCTCTTATTGTACTCACGGTAGGCGCCCTACCCAACAAAAATTGCTAGCAGTAGCTGACGAGGTTTTCAATCATTTTCGCCATTACGGATAAGACACGAGAACATCAACAACGTAGGACCCAGTTATTGCTTGCTTTAATAAAACAAGAGCTAATCTTTCTTCTTAGCTTAAGGGCTAGACTTAGGCTCAAACTTGGATGTGGATGCTCCAGTAATAAAATTATAGATAACTCACTTCTTCATAAAAAAAAGTAAATAAAAAGTACACCTAGCATGGCCTGAAGCTTCCATGTCATACAGATTTGCAAACTGAGTGAAACTTTTATTGTGTTTCTGGAGTGAGCAAGCAATGTGAGTTTCCAGGGCCAGCAATGCCACGGGCACATAGACACCCAATGTCGTGTAACCCCTGGATGCAAAGTTTCCTAAGCCGGAGAGAAAATTGATACTACGATATGACTCGCCATCAAACCAACCAGTGGTACTGCAGAAAACTTCAACCCTTCTTCATTATATAGGAGTACATAAGAGCCCAGACCTACTATTTCATAACCACTGTTCTTTCATAACAGCAGCGTTACGTACTGTTAACCAACAGTTGGGACTCCGGTGGGTAGCTGGGAAAGGGCGCAATAAACATCATCATATTCATACCGGAGCGCTGGCAGGAATTTTATACACTCACAAGTACACTCCTCCCCCACAAGACGAAATATATGCCAATCGAAAAAAAGATGTAAGATTATGCGGCTCGAGGTTCAGAGATCATTACAGTGGATGCACATATCTGAATAAGATTGTGGAAACTCGTTTGCCAAGGAGAAATCGACATGCTAGTGTGAGAAGCTGCGTGTCTAATCTCACTTGAAGGTTGAGAAACGGGGAAGCTTGTACTTCAGGTAGTACAACTTTGCCCTCCTCACCTTCTTGTGTCTGATTACTTTGATCTCCTTGATCCTTGGTGAGTATCTGCAATGGAATGTATAGGCTCAGTAAGTATCAATTTTGTTGCAGGGATTCTGAGCAGTAGCAGAGTCTGGACAGTGTTTGGTCTTCAAGCATTTCTATTTCCGGGTGCACGAAAAGCAAAACATGATATTTAGCACAAATAAAGGGCCACTGCCCATATGATTTCAGTTTTTACACATGAGACGATGGGCCAGCTGTTTTCACGTTACCACGAAAAGATGCGTGCAAATAAACACTTTCAACAGCAGCAATATGCAAAGTGAATCATATTGCAAATAGATTCTTCTATTTTATTTGCAGAAATGAGAGCATTTGAAGTTGGATAACCCTATCTGAGTAGTGAGTAGAATAAGTGTAACGGAAAAGGTACTTGCTTAATCCAAAGTTTCACATTCATGATAATGCAACAATGTCAGCAAAAGCCAAACACTGTATCGGCGATTAATCCAAAGCCAAACAGAATTCCGCAATGAGCTGTTTAAGTACGAAAGGACTATATCGGCGATTAATTGAATGATTCAACTCCTACTTGATAGCTGTCCAATCCTTCATAGAAAATTCCAAGTTGCGTCAGTTAACTGGTTTTGTAAATTTGCCTCTTCCGAACAGACGTAAGTAATGCATTTTGAGCAATAATGTTTCACACCTTTCAAACATTCAAAGGGAAATTCCAAATTAACCTACGCACTAGTATCTTAGACCAAACAGATCATGAGTTATTAATCATGACAAAAGCATCTTCGGCGCTCAGTTCATTGTAAAATTGATATAAATAGCAATTCAACCAATTTTAAGGTGGACATTAGAAAAGCTAAAGTACCTGAGAGCAAGTATGTGAAGGCCAACGACCTCAAAAGTTTCATATACACATGTTGATTGACTAAGGTTAGTATGCCGTAGAAAGACATGTGCATAGTCCAAATTTCTTGTAGTTAAAGCGAACAAAAGATACACATAAATGTTTTGCAATATAGATTCAATACAAAACTCACTGTCACTATTTGATACATGTGATGGTATCCACATTAAATTGAAAAACTCGGTAAATTAAGTAAACTCAACTTACATGGGGAATGTAATTTCAACTCCAACACCGGCAATAATCCTCCTGACGCGGATCGTGGTGTGAACACCAGATTTGTGCTTTGCAATGATTATACCCTTAAAGAGAGACAATCTCCTCTTGTTTGGACGTTGCTGCAACAACATTGCTTAGGACATCAATAACCCCCAAATAAGAATATAAAACCACATTCAAGAGTAGCGAACAGTCTCACCATTCTAAGCTCGATAATGTCACCGGGCTTCAAATCCGGAAGCACTTTCACCTTCTCAGCCTCCTCGATGAACTGCTTGTTCAGAATCTATGGTACCAAATAATTCAGGGAATAGTATATCACACGTCAAGCGCTCCAAAAGACCAAAATGGTCTTGAATGTAACAAGTATAAGTATACAGAAACCCAAGGAACCACCAAATTCCATCCACCCATGCTAATGCAATCATGAAACTTATTTAGCAAGCCATATCTTCTCCTATCTGAACCCTAAGCGAGAAAAAACAGTTATCCTTTTCGTTGCTAAATTCACAATATATGTTAGTACAACCTAATGCGATGGTGCTCAAGAGACTACGCTTCTAGCAACTCAACAGAAAACTCAAAACTATTCATATCGAGATTACAATTTTGTATATTAAGCTAAGAAATGGTACCCCTCCATGGCCTACTGGCTGCTTCGCTACCTGCATTTCTCCACCGCCAACAATTTCGCCAAACTTGACTTGCGGCTTGCATTTCTACAAACCGAAGAGGCAATGTATGGGGAAGTGATGCTTACCCCGATGATCTCACCGAACTTAATCGGCTTGGGCCTCGGCGCCGGCTCCTCCTCTTCCTCCGCCAATGCGACAGCCCCCTCCGCCTCCCCCTCCTCGGAGTCAGCAGAGGCAGCGACAGGCTCGCCCTCAGGAGCAGGCTCGGTCGCGGGCTCCGGCTCTGCGGCGCCGGCGTCTGCGTGGGCGACTAAATGGGTGTTCCGGCGATGGGAGGTGGATAAGGAGAGGCGGCGGAAGGAGGAGGACAGCGCGAGGAGCTGCGGCGGCGGAGGCGAGCGGTGATTTAATAGTGCGTGGGGAAGAAGTGTGCCGGTCGCGGCGGCGGCGGTGGCGGCGGCGGCCATCGAAAGGTCAGGCGGGCAAAGATGTCAGTGCCGTCGCATGGGCCGGAGGAAGAAGCGAGAGAGGTGCCGGACGGGGGCGGGGGAGGATTGGGGAAGAACGTTATCCTTTTTGTTGGAGGGGCAGTGCCGCTGCATGTAGGCCCACGTTCTATCCAGAGGTCGTAAACGATCTGAACCATCCATTGTAAAGCTGATGACAATTGGCGTAAAAAAATTTCTCACCATGCCACCCGTCGTGTTTGGGTGCGGGTTAGAGCATCTACATCCAGACTGGCAAATTCGACCTCTCAAACACTCGTGGACGCACCCACCGGCATCAGCAGACAGTGACCGGTCATGCATTAAATATTTGATTCTACGACCGGACACCTCAAATCCATATTATTACATGAAACGTAAAACTCATCTTTAAACGGAGCTCGTTTGGTTCCTCGTGCCCATATTCGGCGGCTAGCTGCGCTCCCTTAGAGTGTTGGTCCGATCACCAACAAGGTAGAGTAGGGCATGGTGTTAGACTGTTAGGGTATATTTCTCTCTTATGGTTTTGGTGATTGATAATAATGTTTTTCCGGACTAATCGTGTGCATTGAACATTTTAGATAATCTATCATATGGCACAAGAAGATTCGTGCCCCGCGTAACTATTGTGAAGATGATGTTTTTTCTTCATTTCATTTTCGGTGGATTTGAGTCGCAGGAACACCGTACAATTAAGAGGGGTCCTCTTCGAAAAGGTTTGTGTGGAATCAACATGTACACTATCTCTTTGCACCCTCGATCTTTCCCGATAACTGAGCTTGTCCTTCCTTGTGCTTGAGCTTTTCAGATCAACCTCAGCAGCAGTACCGCTCTGCTCAGCGGAACAGTGCTACCCTTACTTCCGCTTGTTTTGTGTGTTCTGTAAACTCGCGGTAATTGAGCGGCAGTTCAGCGCGGTAGTACCACTCCAGCGGTACTGCGGCCCTAACTGCCCCCCACTACCGCGGGTTTACTGAGCATACTGAAGCTAAGCGGAACTGCCACTCTGCGACGCGGTAGTATCGCTCCAGCGGAACTACCGCGATCCTCTACCGCACAAAGTATCACTTGTGTTTGTGCCTTCTGGAAATCTATATACCACGAGCGGAAGTAGGGCGGCAGTGGCTAACGGTAGTATCGCCCAGGGCAGCACTACCGCTTTGTCTTCCTCTACTACCGTGGGTTCCAGCTGTTGTTCATTACCAAGCGGAACTACCGCTGGTGGGAGCGGTAGTACCGCTCCGGCGGAACTACCGCCTCCCTGGCATGCTCATTTGAACGCAGAGGCTGAATCTTCCGTGCCAGCGGAAGGACCGCTCTCCTGAGTGGTACTACCGCTTGTGCACAGGTTGTGAGTGCATAATGGTTGGATTTCATCCCCCACTATATAAAGGAGTCGTCTTCCCCAAATTGACTTACCTCTTCCACCCCTAAGCTTCATTGTTGCTCACAAGCTCATTTTCGCCTGATCTCTCTCCCTAGCCAATCAAACCTGTTGATTCTTTAGGGATTGCGTGAGAAGGCCTAGATCTACACTTTCCACCAAGAGAAATTTGATTCCCCCACTGATCCCTTGTGGGTCTTGTTACTCTTGGGTGTTTGAGCACCCTAGACGGTTGAGGTCATCTCGGAGCCAAATTCCATTGTGGTGAAACTTCATGGTGTTGTTGGGAGCCTCCAATTCGGTTGTGGGGAGAGCCCCAACCTTGTTTGTAAAGTTCTGTTTGTCGCCTTCAAGGACACCGCTAGCATCTCGCATTATGTTAGGGCGTGAGGAGAATACGGTGGCCCTAGTAGCTTCTTGGGGAGCATTGTGCCTCCACACCGCTCCAACGGAGACGCACTTCCTCTCAAAGGGAAGGAACTTCGGTAACACATCCTCGTCTCCCCCGACTCCACTTATGATTATTTCTCATCTTTACTTGTGCAAGCTTTACTTATATTGTTTATCTTGCTTGCTTGTGGTGTTGTTATTGCTTGCATCATATAGGTTGATCACCTAGTTGCATATCTAGACAACCTATTTGTTGCTAAGCCTAATTTGTTAAGAAAAGATAAAAAATGGTAGTTGCCTATTCACCCCCTCTAGTCAACCATATCGATCCTTTCAATTGGTAATAGAGCCTCGTCTCTTTATTAAGGGTTTCACCACCCGAAGAGTATGGTTGGCAACGGGGGTTGGGATGAGGAAGTTCCCAAGGCCGTGGAGTTGACTTCGATTACCCGAGATGACTTAAATTAATCTATGGCTTCACATACGACGTCTATGACGGCCGAGGTCAAGTCCTTGTTTAAAGATCTCCTTGAGGGGTTGAAAACTTCTACCGGTCTGTTGCAAGTGGCTAATCCCACTACATCGGAGTCCGAGGCCAATTCCGGTAAGGAAGGGGCTAAAAGTACTTGTCGGGGATATACCCCGCGGTATGACCTGGCTGGAAATATGACCTGGCTGGACTTGGCGGCTCACCAGAGACCCGGCTGACACTTGGCGACTCACTGGTCTGACGAACTCACGAGCCTGGCGACTCACCCAATGGCCCCGATGGCGGGTCATATAGAGGACTAGGCCCAAGGCCCAGAAGGCCGGCTCATGTTATGGTGGGCCGGCTTAAGAGGAAAGCATAAGGAATATTCCCTTACAAAAGAAGCAAGACTAGGACTCCACTTGTAATAGAGTAATCCTAGTCCTACTAGGACTAGTCATGTAACCCGCCCCTTCAACTTATATAAGGAGGGGCAGGGCATCCCAAGAGGGAGAGGCAAGAAACAATCTCTAGGGCTAGACCCAACTAGAAGAGAGCTGGAGATATGACGTCTCCCTCATGAGCATAATGAGACCTAGCCACAAACAGCATGTAGGGCTATTACCGGATGGTGTTTCCCGGGGCCCGAAGCTGTCTAAATCCTTGTCATCCACCTTGCGTCTCTCGTCCCGATCAACCCCTCTCAAGCTACCACATAGATGCGTTGGCCTCACGACTAAGTACTCACACTAGGACATCTGCTGTGACAATTCCATGACAGTTAGCACCCACCGTGGGGCCAGGCGCATGGTGGTGTTGAGTTCTTGGAGGGATTTCTCTAGGGATCGAGAAGCTCGCGATGTGTTGGATGAAGAAGAGCCGGCGCAGGAGACGTAATCACCGATGGACAGTCAAAATAACATGTACATGATTTAAGTTTGAGAAAATAGGGTTTCGTGCGTGCTGCCACACACGACTCGAAAGGAAGATGGATTTTTTGGTGCGCCGTTGTTAAGTCATGCATTTTCAAGAACGATATGATTTTCCAATGCGGCTACAAATGTTGCAGACGTTTTCTCTGAGAGTCGCTGAAGTTGTTATCTCTTTTTTTTGAAGCTAAAACGCCAGTTGGCTCTTTATTCATTTGGCGCTAGCATGTCTGACTGTAAAGAATCAGCCAGCCACCCAGGGATTGTCTCATACATAATCTGAGAAGAAGAAAGATCTAAAGAATGTCTAGCTACCCGGTGAGCCACCGTATTACAACGCCGGTTGGCAAACCGTAGCTTAAATCCCTGGAAAAAAGTACTCAATACTTCAATCTCTTTCAAGAGATGATAACATGACGATTTCTGCGGTGACTCCCACAGCCGTATAATCTCCTGGCAATCTGTTTGGACTTCAACTCGATGTAGCCCCATATCACATGCCGTGGATAGCCCATCTCTGCATGCAAGGAGTTCAAGTGTCAATGGATCAATTATCCCCTCATACCTTGAGCCTCCCGCTCTAAGAAAGAAACCATGATGATCACGGGCAACAAAACCCGTTCCTCCTCGCACCCGTGACGAGTGTGTAGCTCCATCCGTATTGATCTTGACCCAATCCTCGTCTGGTGGCATCCACCGTGGGGGACAAACAGGCTGGTTCTTCACACTAACAGGGAACTCAAGCGCTCGCACTATCTCTTCTATGATGATCATCTATTGCGACGGCTGATACACTTGTTCACCATGTGTATATCTATTTCTTGAGTGCCACACCGCCCACATCACCGTAATCATAATAGCAGCATCCTCTTGCTTAAACAGTTCATGATCAATCAGATCCCTAGACCATGTCACCGGGTGTAGCCTTGGGATACGTATATCGAAGAATCGCTCCACCGCCTCCTAGAACCATACCGCATGGTCGCACTCCATCAGTGAATGAAACAAAGTTTCATTCTCATGTCCACACATGGGACAGTTCGGCGTCTGCTTGATATGGTGTCGTCAAAGCTCACCATAATTTGGTAGGAAACCTTTAAGCACTCGCCACCAGAAAACTCGAATCTTAGGAAGAACATTCAGCTTCCACAGTGCACGCCATACTCCTTCATCGCGAGAAGATGATCCTACCATTGCCGACAGCTGAAGCTTTGCTTGCATCGTTTGCCGGTAGGCTGACCGGACTGTGAAAATGCCCGACTTCTCCCAGGCCCATGCCCATATGTCTGTACCTCCTGCTCTCGGTCTAGGCATGGCCAAGATCGCATCTGCATCCGGGGGAAAAATAGACTTCGGATGTTATCTATGTCCCATTGGTTTGTCTTCGGATCAATCAAGTCAGCCACAAGCTGAATAGAATTCGGCTTGAGTGCACCCATTGGAGTCATGGACGTGGAGCCCTCTATCCAATGGTCATGCCACACTACGGTTGTTGATCCATCTCCAACTCGTCGAATTAGTCCTTTCTTGAGCATCTCTCTCCCTACAATTATAGCCTTCCATGTTTTAGATGCACTTTTTGGACAACCCGCAGTTAGGAACCCCTCATTTGGGAAATATCTTCCCTTTAGAACTCGGGCACACAAGCTGTTTAGATTGTCAAGAATCCTCCATGCTTGCTTGGCCAGCATCGCATCATTGAAGGTTTCAAAATCCCGGAAACTGAGACCTCCTTTTGACTTTGCTACACACATCTTATCCCACGCCTGCCAGTGCATTCCCTTCTTATCAAGTGACCCACCCCACCAAT